ACATCCTCTCCTCATCCTGGCTCTTGACCAGTTCAGATAACAGACGCTCATTCATCAAGTGATACAGTGTTCCCTCCATTTTCCTCAGCGTGCTGCCTCTCCGGGACAACTGCCCTGCCTGCCGGAAAATCCTCAGCCTTTACACAAACAGACAACAAAGCAAGATAAAATGTCCATTTATCAGGCTATAAAAATCTCGATAAAAGCAGGTTTCAATCACAAGCGGAGCTGGAATTGATGATGGGAAGTGATTCAGAGGTGAATCTGGATCTGGAAGAAGTGAAATGACACAAAAAGCTGTAGATGTCCTGTAGTATGAGTGCACAACATTTTAGTACATGGGAAAAACTAAAATGGCTTCATTTAATCTTTGACAAATACTCGTACTGCTTGGCATCACTCAGCATTTAAAGAATAAATTGATAGGGAATTAATCAAGTGTGAGTAAGATTTTTTGAGTTGAAAACTACTGGAAGACTTTACTGTTAGATGTGATCACCAATAAAAGAGCTGCTGTAGCATCCTGACAGTTATAATTTCAAAATTAAGTTCCTCTGCAACAGGTGCAGGACGTTTTCTGAAATATTTGGAAAAAGTCAAACTCAAAAGGAAAATCTGATGGTGCCAGAACAGCAGCAACTGCACTGCAACTGTTTGATTCCTGTCTTTAGATGCCTTAAAATCTACATAAGTGACACCAGAAACATTATTTTAAAATGTACTCAAAATGGTACCTTGGAACTCACTGTACTCACTGTACTCATAATGATCAAACTCAGCAAGAGTAGCGATGACTAGTTACTGTCCACGCCTAAAAAATGAGTTCTGCTGTCGACAGCTGAGTCAGTCTGGTGCCTGTTCTCTCTAAAAAAACATACCGTTCCTTGATAACGTATCAGAGAATTCCTCACTCAGACAACTCTTACATAACAATGATGAAAACTCTGTTCCTGCGTGCCACGCTCACGCACTTCCACTCACATGCTGGCACACATGTAAAATATACAGGAAAATGGATGGATGATGATAAAATGAACTTCTTCAACCGGTGCAGTAAAGAGTGACAGTGTCAGGGGGCTTCCGATAACGTCAAGAAAACAAAATGCCTCGTGAGAGTATACAAATATCTGAGGTGTGTCTTACTTTTAAAACAATATCAAGAACGAAAAAAGTTCATTCTCATACAGCCACATCCTGAAGGTTAACTGTCAGGTCTTTCAGGTGGAAACCATTAGACATTAGAGGAAATATCAGACCACAATAGTGTGATATGTTGTCTTATCGTACTGTGTACTAAGAATGTTGTTTTCTTTCCCAGAGATACTATATCCATGCAGACAGGAGACTTTAGAACAACTAAAAAAAGCGATTAGGACAATAACAGTCTAACCAGTACCAATCAGAACTGACTGCGTATGATGAGAGGTTGAGTGTTACTTTATGGAAAGAAAATCTTACTTTAACACAACAATGAACTTAATTTTTCCACCTTAGGAGTCTAAAATAGAATCATAACATAACTGTGTTAAGAGTTTGGTTAAAATTACTCTCAGGTCACAAGTTGGTATATTTCTGAAATGTTTCCTGGTACCAGAACAATGATGCTTGTTACTTTAAAGGTGAAAGGTCAGGCTTGTTTGTCTCAAAAGCCACAAGAGATTGAGACTGTAGCATTTAAATAAATGAACCAACGCATCATGAATGTGTGTTTAGGTGTGTGCGCGTGTTTGCACAGGATGTTGACCTCGTCCATGGCCTCTGTTTTAGCCAGGAAGAGGTTCAAGGAATGGCCAACAGGACTTGGGGTAACGCACACACACAGACATTTAACACACTGCAGTCACAGGATATAAACACGGCAGAGTCAGCTGACCTGACACCAGTTCAAACAGCATGTCATTCATTGTCTTTATTTTTGATAGTGTGTACCAGGATCTGATCTGACATTTTTCTTTATGATTATCACTAATTGCAGGTAAGACTTTGTAGTTACTATTACCAGATTAATACTTACCTGTAACAAAATATAACATCTTTCACTTTTAACTTGATTACTTTAAAAGTCATTAATAAAATTAAGTTAATGAGGATTAATTCAATGAATCCTGCAAATAGGAACAATTGGGTTGTCACTGTTGAAACATAAGTATAGTCACCTTTACTGAGTGCGAGTGAATTATATCTTATCCTCTTTTGGTCTCTTTCAGCAGTAGCACATTACTAAGTTAGACAATGCCATGCCTCTAATTTCTCTTTCAATTTGTACTTTGTTTTGTTATCATGTCCTGCACTCACACTATCTGCCACCATGGAGACAGAGGGCAATTAACAGGAGGGTGTCACCACCACTCCACCCTCAAGCACCATGCATCGAAGCAGCGATGAGCTGTGACTCAGAGAGAGTCACAAGTGGATGTGTCAGTGAACTACTCTGGTTTGAGCCAGGTTCACTCTCCCCCAGAGGGCGGTTTGGTTGCGTGTTCTAACAAATAAAAAAATAAAAATATATAAATATTATATATATATATATATATATATATATATTAGAATATTTTCACTGATTTTCATTGCCAGCCCTTTCCAATAGGAAACTGAAGCATTTATATCTGGTTTAGTCTGGTGGCTTTGGAGAGAGCATAGATGGATATAACAGCTGGCCTGTAAACAAATATAAGTAAACCGAGGAGCAGACGAATGTTTACATTTCTCAAGTGATTTCACTGAGTCATTTTTATTGTGATATTCATAGAGTAAAATAAAATCAATTAAATAATTCTATATTTATGATATACTCCACATATATCATAATCCTAAATATAAATGCAGCCCCCAGGTTTACTTGTATTGTCTTACAGTTGTCAAGAGGTCGAGACTTTATTGCACAGGCACGAAACAGAGATCAATTGAAAAGAAAATTAGAGCAAAAGAAGTACTCAAGTCACATATTACATACAAAGTCATTTGATATGTTCATGTGCTAGTGAGCACTTTGTGGATCATTGCAAAGGTCAAACCCACTGCACAGTCTGCCTTTATGTTACATTAAGAAGCTAAAGGACATGTTAGTACATACAGTGTATGGAGTTACAGCACATGTGATGTACAATGGTTGGCTCACACAGCATTTCTAATTAATAAATAAAAAGAAACATAATAACATAATTATGATAATGAATGCCTTCTGACAGACTGTTAAGTGTATATTATATTCCCAATGCTTTATGTAAAACATTTTATGTAGGATGTTTAATATAATCCAATCAGTCAGTTTGTTACTTATTCTTTTTCTCTCCTTCCTGGCAACTGATCCATTTGTGGACTTTGAGTTAAGGTTATTTAATTAAATTTAAATGTTTTTTAACCTGTGGCTGCAGGATGATTTTAGCTTGCTTTTATATCATAGCAGTAACATGTACAATGTGTGTGTGTGTGTGTTTGAGAGCACCATCCCCACTCAGTGCTCTGAGATACAAGTTCCCTCGTGTTTCTGGGTGTATACGTTTAATCCTGATCTATAGCTTCCCCTCTCCACCAGACAAACACACACATCTATCACACACATTCACTGCACGCAAAAACACACATGTTCGTATATCACTGTTGACAGACGTAACACATTTATTACCACTGACAAACCAGTTCAAGATATACTGTTTTTCTCCTGAAAAGATAAGATACCATCCAAAACCAGAGACAAAACCTTTCAGCTGTCTCTGCCTCCACACTATTTTTCCTCTCTCTGTCGGCCTCTTTCTCTCTAGTGTGTTTCTGCTCTCTCGCTCCTTCTGTCTAATTTTTCCACATTTTCCAGGAAAGACTAAAATACTCTACTTAAAATAGTTGTCCTGTTGTTTTCCTATCACTTACTTAATTTTAGTTTATTTCTGTTTTATGATCTAGGGACAGTTTACGACACTGGCCATTACAATGCTCACACACACACACACACACACCATCAAAGTCTTTGTTATTCATTATTTGTATCATAAAACCCGCGTGCCCTTCAAGATAGATGAAACAAATACAAAGACTGATCAGCATACAATAAAAACACTGACTTTCAGATATGATGAAGGATGTGGGTGTTGGTGTGTGTCTGTATGTGTGTGTGTGTGAAGGTCAAGGTGGGACAGACAGGAAATAAAGGACAAGAACACAACTTCCTGTGTGAGAGGAGAGAGTGCTGGATCTTCCCTACATATGGTGTGTTTGTGTGAATGTGCTTATATCTGTATATGTTCATGAGGTCTTTAAGTCAGAGGGAATGCATTGACTTCCTGTCACACACACACACACACACACACACACAGAGAAGTCCCTAGATAATACAATAATGTCTAGGATGTCGAACTAATATTTCATGCTATGTTTCCTGTCATTTTTAGTTCATGTCATGTTATAGTCAATGTCAGTGACTCTTGATAATTAATGTGTAAATCTGCTCTTCATGTATATACATGTATATATATTTTAAAGGGTCTGTCAGCTCTATTGAGAAGTTTTAGTTTTATTTAGGGACACAGAGGATTATGCTCCGCTCTTTGCAGAAAGACAGTGTATAGGTGGCATAAAACTGATGTGTTTGTGTCTTTTAGTGAAAGAAAAAGCATGACTGAATGCTTTTATGAAATTAAAATCCTTTCTGTACATGATTCGCTGATTTACTCCCTACATTTCTGATAACAGTAAAGTTGTTCAGCGTGAATCTCAGATAAATTATTTCAGACAGACCGTTTAGGCTTCTACTAATTTACTATATAATCCAATTTTCAAATCTTTCCTTATTTATCAGTTAGTATATTTTTGTCAGACAAGATATCATCATATTAGAGTGGAAAAAAATTATAAATCTTGAGATCTACTTAACTGTTAACTGCAAAATGATGAGTTTAATCAAGACAAATCTACTGTAGTGTATCAACAGCATGATTTTTTCATAAATGTATGTTTCTTTTTCTTCTGAAAAAAAGATAACAAACAAAACCCAGGAAAAAAGAAGGCAGAGTAAATGAATCTTTATTACACTTTTGGACTATTGTTTATGTCGACAGAAAAGCAGTGTGGTACAGATTTTGCAATGCATAACCATCTTAAAACAGAAAAATACCATTACGCCAGTGTATTTACCAGTACACAGGACGTCATGTTGCAATCTGTCAGGGTATGAAAACAATTTGTGAATCTGAAGGACTTTGTTTTGCAGAGAATCCACTTCTAACAAGCATGCTTTTAACATTTATTCCGTTGATCTGTTGTGGCTCGCCTGTGAAATGTGAGCTAGTAGTGATGCACAAAGCACCCAGAGATGGAGGTGGCTGATTTCCCAATCTGTGTTCATGGAATGCGAACAGTCTTTTTATGTACAGTAGATTCACAGTAACGGCACAGAGACAAACAGGGAGGGGCACAAAAACTGGACATATTTCAATTCTGTGGCTCAAGATGGGTGAATATTGTCTCAGCCATAAAACATATAGTGAACATTTCTTATCATATGGTAACCCAAATTTAGTATGTTTAGTTTCATTTTACGATCAGCAACAAACATGGTCAAACGTGAAGTATATATATACACACACACACACACACATACATACTGGCATATCGCTACAGTAAATCAGAAACATTGTACAGAGGGATTACATTTATTACATGTATACAATTTAAAACAAACATCTGAAAAATGTGTCAATTAGTGTTTTGTTACTACAAAATAAGCTGTGTTCACTCTCTTGACTGCCAGGTTAAACAACTTTCAGATGGTAAACAATAACTGATTCATCCGATTTTCAATTAATAACCCACTGGAATACTCCGGAATCAGTAGCTTGTGTAATGCTTAAGACTTAAACATATATGTTACAAATAATACCACTGATACATGTGGTCATGTGTGTACATACAACAGTCAGGATGTGCCCACACAGAACCGTGAACGTCTGCACATTCAACATTCAAAGTCCTTACAATACATTTATACTGAGGATGTCAGCACACTCATGTGTCCAAACAATACTCATTATATGGTTTCATATTACAGTCACAGTATTTCCAAACATGTTAATGATATTTAGAACTATGTAAAAATCATCATCCTCAGTTTCTCACGTGCTTGTTTCCCCATTAGAGAAAGATTTTCCTCTTTCATCGCAGTAGGTCAATCCAGATGCTACAGTAAATGATGTCGTAAACTCACCTCACACACACACACACACACACACACACACACAAAAACATCAACATCTGTATATCACATTTACGGTTTTAAAAAGATGATCTAGGGCCATTTTCTTTTTTAAGGTAAGAGGAGGTGTTGTACTGTGAACTGCTCTGGTTAGAAACTATGTTACCAGAACTCATGTTCATTTTCTGTGTGTGTGCTTCTACACATTTGTGTGTGTTTGTGTGTATTCTCCCGCCGCTTGCCAGGAAGTCTTTGTAGCTGTTTGTTATATGTCGCCATGAAACAAAGGCCAGAATACTCAGCCGTGCCAGGGGACAAAAACACCTCGAGATACAAGAACTGTGAAATGTTTTGCAGGTTGGGTGGAGTACTGCAGTCAATATGATAATAGTTTCTATTATAGATAAAGTTTTAAAGGGGGAGAAGGCGGTTTATTTACTTTTTTATATCCCAGTCTTTTTCACAAAATGACCTTCTTCACTTTTTGTCTTCACATTGTTGCATCTCCTTTTCTTCCAGTAGCTTGGATCAACTCACATTTTGCTGTATTCCAGTGTGTATTGTGTAAGTTTCTTTACTAATTACTTTATCAGCTGTCCTAAACATCTCTAACATATCTCACCCTTAATACAAAGGAGGACACTGGGCTAATGACTTGACTTTATTCAAGGAACTCGTCAAGATCCAGTTTTTCTACCCTGGTAAAAGCATGGAATCAGCCACTTAGTATTCCCTAACTTTTTTTCTGAATGTAACTTAATATTTTACTCTAATATTTGCCTCTTGGGGGGAAGGAAAGACTGTAGATGTGAGGGTGACAGCAGCAGAGAGGGAATGGCAGATGGAAATGGGGTCTAATTTAGTTTTTGCTATAATGCTACAGGAATATTTCTATTTTAAGTGGGATGTGAAAGGGGGAGGATCTACTTACAGGTTTTAGGGATAGGGGTGGGTGTAATCTTACATTTACTCAGGTATTTTCCTCTTGGAAGGCGGCACCAGGTGTGCAGGCAGATCTGATGGCAGTTCATGTCCCTCCAGTTTCACTTTAATCAGGTGATTGGCCAACGCAAACTCCTCATCATCAAGCATCCCATCCTTATCGATATCTGCCAGCTTCCAGATCTTTCCCAGCACTGTATTGGGCAGTTTTGACTTCACCATCTCCCTCTTGGCGTTGGCCCCCGTCACCTTCCCGTTGACGGGAGATAACGTGTAGAAAATCTCATCATAAGCAGGTTTGTCACGGGCGACGACCCACTCTGCCTCGTCGATGCCTTCCCCAGCTCCTTCGCCGTACCCGTGGCCAAACGGGCCGTCCAAAGTACCGTCAAACGCGCCGCCCTTCACAACTGGGTTAGGACGCTGGTTTTCTTCTTGGCGGACCAGGACCATTAAGCCAGCGATGTCATTGGCCAGCATGTCGTCCACTGCTTCCAGGAGTTTGGGTTTCAGAGGCTGGAATTTGTTGAGATCCTGAGCTTGGAGTTGATCCTGATAGAGATAACACAAAAAACACAAACAACCACATCTCAAATTCAGGTATTATCTATCAAAACATCACCTATATATAAATCTGCATTCCTTTGCTCTTTCCTGTTTACCTGCATCTTCTTAAGACTAGGAAAATCTCCAGGTGATATCTGATGCTCTCTCTCAATGCGTTTGTAAATATCTCCCAGACTGCCGATCAGTTCTTTCTTCTTGTTCTCCTTCCCAAACACTGAGGGCATCTCTTTCTTCAGTGAGCTGATGATGTAGGCATGGACCTGCATTGTGAGAGTGAAAGATGTAGTCAAGATTTCAGTTCTGGTTGATTTGGCGACACTTGTGGTTATTGGTGGTAATGCTTAGAAAGTCTTACTAATTTAAATTTCAGAGTTACTTTTGAAATGATCAATGATACAATGTTTATTGACCACCGGGGACAGGAAATAAGCTACGCTGTCAGGAATACAACAGAAGAGGACAAGATAATCTTTCCTCCTGACAATGACTAGGACCAGCTGTTCTGCTGTTGCGGATTACATAACATATGCTCTTGTCTTCCAAATTTTGTCCACCACATGCATGCATAATTTCCTGTGAAACCCTTTGAAGCCTTTTGAATCTAGCACGGAAATGGCTGACCCCACCATCAAATGCAACTACTATGTAGAGAGGTAACTGTATATAGCAGAATGAATGCCATTACCCGGGTTTGATGAAAGTATTAAGGATTGAGACGGATGAGACAATAAGGGCTCACCCATTAGGTCTTATTGGATGTCATACATGCAGCGACAGCTGTTGATTAAATGTCGAAAATGTATATTCAGGAAGATTTAAATGGGACCCTAAATTATTTACAACAACAACATATACACAAATAAACACATACCTGCACTAATGTAGCAAAAAATACGGTGTTCAACAAATCTCTAATTTAAGATTAAGCAATTTCACTTCCAGAAGAACTTTTGATAAATTGCTCAAATGTAACATCATAAGTATCCGACTGTTGCAAGCCTGGAGTCTAGGGACACTTAACACGCCTTTAACCAGATTAGTCATACAGTAAATATCTCAGTAAATCTCTCAAATTACCTTTGTTGACATTTGTTTTTAATATTCAACACAAATTAAACATGGCAAAAGTAGCGGGAAAACCCATATTTGTTAGGTTGCTGTGGTGATATTAATTTTTTCCTGAATCCACCTCATGTCCTTGAAGTTCACCACGAAACCCACAGACACACACACACACACACACACACACACTATCAGCTGTCAAACAGGAAAACAGCGCTCAACTCTCAGTTTGATAACAATGTATGTTTGAGTGTGTGCATCCTCTATTTCCTTCAACTACTACAGACAGCAGACTGTTGCCTCTCATACCTTACTTCCTGTCCAGAGAGGAAACAGGAAACAATTCACTCAGAGGAGAATAGCCTAGAGAATTAGTCTGGTTCTACTGGTTCTGTGACGTCGACAACCGACGACTTCTGTCAAGGTTAACAGCTGGACGGGGTGGGGAGTTAACAAGTGATGGGCGAACACAAATAGAAAACACACACAGAAACACACCTAGAAAATTATTGTAAATCAGTATGTGGAATACGTACCAGACTGATAATCCTTCTGTGGCATTGGGTATAGATATTTTAAAGGAAAAACCAACACCACCCTCTTCCTACTGTTAGCTACATCTGTCACATAACCAGATTCTCCATCACTGAGTGGTTGTGTCTATGTCTTCCACTTGTACCTTACCTTGGCTAGTCTTGCCCTCTTGATCAGATCGTTGAGTTTTCTAAGCGCTGCATTTCTCGGTAAAGACTGAATGTCCTTAAATAAGTCCTGCTCTTCTGCTTCAAACAGCTTCCTGTTGTCTGGAATCAACAGAGGGTGGGACCAGAACGAACCGATGTAGACGCGGATCACCTATCAGGGTGAGGGAGACAGAAAATCAACGGATAGCTAATAGCACCTCATTTTTGAGTGACCACATTGATTAGTTTGTTAGTACATAACCAATAATACATATGGGGTAATATAAATGGGGCATATAATGGGCCATTAGATGACAACTAGAGGAGTTTTTAATCCAAGGGAAAACCCCAAACCACAAGTTTTTCCACAATTTTAGGACTGAAGACAATATCAAGGTATGAAGAGAGGTGCATTATATCCACAACGAGCCTGAGGAAGACCAGGTCGGTGTTTAAAGTTTACCACTAAGGCCTGAGGGAGTTGTGTTCCAGTGTTCAGGTATCTTTGAATTGCATTTTCATTGATATTTTTATTCAGTATCAAATGCATTGAGGTTTTATGGATGTACACACAACTGCACTGCTCTGCCTATCTCAGCTCTACCTTCTGCCCAAACTGGATTTTCTGATTAGAAACACCAAACAAGATGGTGGAAAGCTTTAAACCCTAAAGTCCACTGTTTGTTTGTTTTTAAATATTTTAGGTTTACTATACCTCAGGGGTGTTGACTATTTTCCCCAGTGACCACATCAGGGCACCATACACCCTCATCAGCTGCTGGGTTTCTATCTGGTCAGCCTTGTTCAGCACAACCCTGGAAAAACAACAACACAAGAGAACAGCGTTGATGTTGACTGATTTGTGTTAAGGCAAAGAACAACACTGCACGAACATCCTATCAGGTTGATATAAACGTACAAAAAGAACAACTATTCATGTCTATGTTGTCTAGAATTGGATACGTCTGTAAATCAAGCAACCTTACAGTACCTGATCTTGTCCTCATGGTTCTTCAGGGCCTTTATAACCTCTGAGAACTCGTCCGAGATGTCCAGTTTGTGGGCGTCAAACAATAATATGATCCTGTCCACTCTCTCTGCAAACCACTCCAACACAGCCGCAAAGTCATAGCCTGAGAGGAGGAAGAGGAGAAGGTGAAATTGTGAAATTTCAGAGATGGAAGAATGTAAGAAAAAAAGCTGTAACAATGTGTATCCTTTCACTTCCTGTTTCTTTCTTTGCTCCCGTCCCATACCAGTGTGAAAATATCATTAAAGAAAGGCAATTTAATTAATTAATTTAATAACTGGAATATTCCTATTTTATTTGGGATACTGTGATGTTGCAATATTCCCAGGAGGAAACTGTTACAATGGCTTCAGGTCATAGAGGAGGCGATGAGGACACCCATATTACAACATGCTGAGAGAAAAGAATGTCTGTTTACAGATGGAGGCAGTTCTGCCAGGGTTCAACTAAGTGGCTTTTTAAAACAAAACGATGAGGGCGGGGAAAAAATAAATAAAAAGATTGTCTTATTTGGCTCTGATTTTTACACAACAATGACTTTTAACAATTTAGCATTATAAATGGACAGAGTTAAGGCCAAACGTACAATGCAACCACAGGCTTCTAAATGAATGAAGGTAGTAATGAATGCATTGATGAATGACTTAGTGCCTCCATAAATTCCTACATAATGCATGAATAAATGAATCAGTGATTAAATCTGTCAGCAGCAGTACATCATTGCCTCCTTTGACTTTCCATCCTACTCAAGGACAAAACTTACCTAGAGAAATTCCACAGTATATGAGAGGAGAACAAAGAACAAAGAACAGAACGAAGGATTAGTGGGCTAAGACTTCCAACCAACACTGAAGGACACATAAAGGATGCAGAGTTAATGGTGAACCTGTTACAGCTGAGATTATATGGATGGCAACTAAGAGGCATTTGCTGTCAGTTAGTAGTAGCTTTATATTAATACAGTCAATGTCAAATGGATTTTCTGAGGAGCTATGTTTGTGAAAACTTTTAAAAACTAAATTACCCGGCACTTTGAATATATCTAAATCTGACTCATAAAATCCCCCTTTTTACATACTTGCCAAACTGCTGCTATTGCTACTGTGGCTGCGCTGCTGCTCGTCCCAGTGGAGGAACAGTTTATACTCAAGGTGAAAGATTTCTACAGAGCAAAACTTTCTAAACTCTGAGGTTCTGATATTACATGATAATGCTGTCATGATGCCTCCTTATCAGACTCCTTTACAAACAATTCTAAAAAAAGAAAAATCACCTTTCAGAACAAAGTATAATGTTGTTGAGTGTTCAATCATTCCTCGCTGGGATGTGAGCAAAAGATTATCAGTTGTAGCAGTATGTAAAACATGGAAACTGGTTTTGTCTTTCTCGCCCATACGAGCACAGCTGAGAGGAGACAGAGGGCACACTGCTGCTTGGGCTACAGTGGGTTAAGAGAGAGACAGATACCTTGATATTTTGAATTTTAGTGGATTATTCTTCACACAAAGCAATTTTTACATGGTGTGGGGAAAAAAACAAGACTGAGTCTAAAGCTCCACTATCGTCACCTAGGACCTGGGACAATTTTCTTATCACAGAAGGGCCAAATCCTAACAAAAGTTATCTCAGGATACTTTTCAAAAAGAGCAGGTCTAAACTGTAGTTCTTATAAAACTATTTACAAAGATCCAACAGTCCCCACCATGAGCAAGCACTTAAACAATTAGGGTTTATTTTTTGTGGGCTCATGAATACCCACAGTGAATTTTCCTATAACTTGTGTACCAAGCTAAAATTTTGTTATGCTCTTGTAGTATCAAAAATGGAGATGACTCATGTTATGGGGAGTATGTAAAACTAAGAAAATTTGCTTAAATTATTCCAAGTAAATATTTTGGTTTGATAATGGCAGAAGAATGCTTGGGGCCAAAAAGAGTCTGATGACTTTTTTCTGGCTTATGTTGCTAAAACTAGGAGGAAACTATTAGAGAGTTTAAAAAAACAACAGAACAGAACCAATCCAAAGTCTAGGGCGTAGACATTTGTAAGCTGTGTGCTGGTAAACATGTCGTACCATATAACATTGCTTGGGATATCCACTTCCAATGTTTTAAAACGGTCTCTTAGTGTTACAATTTGATTAACTGTATCTCCTCTGCCTCTGCGGGCATTCTCGCCGCCATTTAGCCACCATTTAGAAATGCAAGATGATCAGTAAGTGCAGAGATCTCCGATCGTTTGGTATCACAAGACTAGAAAGAAACACTCTGGCTATGTTTATCCATATGTTAATATGAATAAATATCCAATTGGGAAGTGGGTAGCTAACAAGGTAAACTCAGTGAAAACTCAGATAAACTGAAATATATGTTCTTTCCCCAAACCATGTGACAAAAGTCTGATGAAGAATGTGTAACAGTCCATAAATTCTTCAAAGTATCGCTTTAATTAGCCTTTTTGCAGCTGGTTGATGCCCAGATTTATTATCTACAATACCTCCATAAGGACATCTATGTAGGCAGCTATAGCCTGAAAACTCCTCATCTGGACACACACACACAAACAAATACAGACATGGATAAAACAATGCAACAGGGTGAAAGAAATTATAATGATAGCACACAGAACTTACAGATATCACACACCCAAATGAAACATGAAAACATATACATGGCATGCAATAAAGAAATGAATGGAACTGGATGAAAATAAAATGAAAATGAACAGACACAAACAAAAGCTCTACCATACACACTCATACGCTCTCTCTGTGTGAGAGACAACACAGATGTGCTGACTCAGTAGAGGTTAATGTTAGCCTGTTTTTACATCCAACAGACAATAACAGGGTCACACCTCACTGTGCTGTTTATTTGGTTTGACAACACGTTCAGAAGACACTTTGACCAGACAAACAGAAAGCAGAACAGAGCTGATGTAAATCCATTTTAATTAAATTACTTCCAATTGTAAACATTATAAACATAAGTTTGGTTGATGCAGACAGAGCATTTCACTCTTAAGACAACGTTCTCGTGACAAGTATTAATACACACCCAACCCTGCTATGAAGTAATGGGCTGAACTCAATGACCAGAATATGATCCTTGTTCTTACTAAGGCTTTGGAATTTGTATGTTTATATATTTTATCATCTCAACACTCATCACTAGATAATCACTACATTATCATAAAACATGTTGATGTTGATATAGGTAAAACTTCTCACTTCAAAATTGTGGGTATATCATGACCTTAAAGGTCCAGTGTCTAACATTTAGAAGGATTTATTGGGAGAATACAAGTTATGTTTTCATTAGTGTATAATCACCTGAAAATGAGAATTATTGTGTTTTTGTTACCTTAGAATGAGCTGTTTTTATCTACAGAGGAAGTAGATCATCTTCTAAGGAGGCCACTATGTTGAACTGCTATGTTTCTACAATAGTGCAGAACGGAAAAAGTTTGCGGCCACTGTAGTTTCTCCTACACGCTTGGAAGGCTGAGCTGTATCAAATGGTTGCAATCTGCAACTTAACCAATAGATGCCATATACATGCCAAATCCTAGACATTGGTCCTTTAAAATCTGAACTGACATAAATTTTATTCCATCCCAGATCTGCTCTTAATGCAATTTGCTCCTTTTAAGGCTGATAACTAATCCATTAGTGCTGTTGTTTTATATTGATAAAAGCACTACAACAGGTTTTATGTTCAGCACTAGAAGCAAGCAAGACTGCTTTCACCCTTACTTCTCAATAATTCAACAAAGGAGATGTTTTTTAAGCTCATTACCATACTCAATTCTTTTTTTTTGTCATACTGTGAGGTGCTATTGATGCTAAATGTGCTGTGATAAGAGTCAATATTAAAAATGTCAACAGTGTTTTGGTAAAAGAGAAACAATCCCTGTGGGCCTTACTCGACATAAGGAAACATTTAACAGTGAAAAATGAAAACTGGTTTTCAAAATAGAGAACAAAGGAGAGAACGGACAGAAACATAAAGAATTCAAAGATGGATAGAGAAAGAGGGAGTGAGTGAATGTGGGAAAGACTAAAATAGTTGTCTTTAAATTATCCCAGCTCTTTTGTTAATGTTAACGGTTGGTATGGCAATGCCAGCATTTAGCCTTGGGAATGCCAGCCGTGCTGGACACACATCAAACTGTAAGAAAGCTGGGTAGAATCCTTGTAAACCTTTCACACCTAAACGTCTCTTCACACTGCAGTCTCCGCATTCAGTTCAACACCAGGGCTGTGGAAGAGCTGAAGAATAATAATATCAAGAACCACACAGCTGTGGAGTGTTTCTTGCAATTTTCTAGAAAATCCCCACGAGCTAAGAGCAATGTGAAATGAATGGGTTTTTGTGTAAATAGATGGGATGAATTAAGAAAAAAAAACATTATCAAATTAAACGGCCATGTGAGACTCTTTTACTTTGACTTCAATGTCTTGCAGCTTCTACATTCTTCATTTATATGAAGATACTAGACTTCGAAGGACATTTGTTAAATTATTTCCCTCTCTGAATCACAGTCAGATCACAGTATGTTTTGTACCTAAACAAAAAAACATGTTGGTTACCACCACATGATTAATGCATGACATGTCTCCAGTAATGTTGGGGAGGTTACCAGAATGTGCAAATGACATATAGATCTGCTACAAATAACAGTATGTTGTATTTTCACCACTGCAAAACTTACTAAAGACTTACTGAAGTGTAAACAAAGGAAAATCCCTAGAATAGTTTTATGGTTCTCTGGTTGCATTTTCTGCTCAGCAGTGACTTTGAAAATAGTGAATTTTGTTTCCGTGCCAAAGCTAAAGCATATGTAACTACTTATGTGCAGCTCTTGTTTGTTGACCATAAAAGTTTAATGTGTGTTTTGCATGTTTTAAAATCAGTACTGAACTGTACAGTGTTACAAAATGTTAAATCGGAACCGTGTGCATGCATGTGTGTGTTCGTGCATGTGTGTGAGAGTGCACATTCAAAGCTCATCTTGTTTGCCACTGCTTCCTGTTCTTTGAAATGAATGAAGCATAATCCTCCTGATAACTAAAAGCTAAAATAAACACACACACACACACACACACACACACACACATCCAAAGGAAATGCTGACATGGTAGTTCAGAGTTCAGTGGGATGAAGGGGGCTGCAGCTGAACGAACACTGGCTCTCTCCCTCTTTCTCTTTCTCTTTCTCT